GTTGTACGGGTGACACTTGATTTCAGTGGAATCACTAAATTGCATGAGTAACGGAAGGAAATCTCTTATGATCTTAAACTGTTGTGTATTCTCATCCTTCCTTCTCCCCACGCCATCTCGCCTGTGTTCACCCTCCTCTGTTTGTGCTATGTCTGTTGTAGATTGTAAGCTCCTCAAGGCAGGGAACTGATGCTTCTCAACTGTCTGTAAAGCGCCTTTGACAACTGTGGTGCTCTTTGAAATACCAACTAATAATAAATACTAGAATCGATTCCCAATGAGTTAAAAGTTTTATTTGTTTTCAATGTTTTAGCAGCAGCGAGGGCGGCAGGCGCATGGGCCACCACGTGAGGAAGCTGAGGAGAGGCCGGGGGTGACAGTGCAAGGACGCGCGCAGCCAGGGTGCCGCCTGGCTTGCTGGCAGCGGTGGGCTACTCTCGCAGGCTGCTTGTCCGCGTGACCATCCTTCATTGCTTTCTCTCTCTCTCCGTTGTCTTTGATAGCGGCGCTCCCCTTCCCAGTTCCCTCAGCATCACGACAGTCTGATCTCCTCTCCGAGCAACTTTGAACACGTCTACCACATGACTGTAAATTCAGCCGAAAAATTCCTCTCTTGCGATTCCATAAGCCCTGCACACCCCCCGCCTCCGTGGCCTATCCCCGGGCCTCCCGGCCCTCTGGCTCTGAGGGTATGAGCGGCCGAGTCAGGTGCTCACGCTACTAACACGGTGTGGTTTTCCTTTTGCTTGGCTAACAACATGGGAGAAAACTCCTCTCGAGCGGTTTCCCTCAGCCCTGCACTTTCTTCTGTCCCAGCTGATTTGTCTTCTGCATCAGCCATGGTGTTTCCACAGCTGTGACATATCAAGGAACAGATGTTTCAGGGCTTAAAAAACAAAAAGCATAAAATAACGGAGCTGAACCTTTTGCTATGAAAATAGCATTTTTGATCACCAGAAAGGGCATGGGTATGTTCAAAGGATAAGTTTTCTGTTCTTCAGTGCTCATCCTGCCAGCAGCCAACAGCAGGGGCAGGATGCTCTGTACCAGGTTGTATTAGGAAAAAGATTCTGGGTGTATCTGCCTTGGGCCAGCTTTCAGTCTGTTCATTTATGAAATCATGTGGAGTGCAAGACTTTACCATACACAGATTAAGAGAGAGACACAAGTTGTACCCAGGCAGTTTCTAGGTTCGAATAAATGAAGATAGAACGTACACGAGTGAGAAGAACAAAAGTTAAAGATAATGGGAACTTGATGATGTCGATCGTCTTAATCCTGGTATTTTTAAACAGAGACTGAGGTAAGCTACTGTACTGTAGATATCTTTCCAGTGGGAATACAAAATTTGGCGGATGGAGGTGGTCTTTTCTTTTTCCTTGTATCTGTATAGCTCTGACTACACTGTGCATCCTGGTCTGAGTACACAGGGGCTGCTAGGTCTTACGCGAATACAAGTCATGCTAAAACAGGCACACGTATTCCTGCTAATTGTGACCTGTGTTGTGACCTGCAGTTCTTCTCTGGACAGATTTACAGAAGAATCGGAAATAATCTGTGGGTGGGCGCCTGTAATGGTTGGTTTGTCAGGGTTTGTGTGGGTTGAGCTGTGCCTGTTGCCGTAATGGTAAGACCGCTGTTGGTTTCAGTGGTGTTTGCATACCCTTCAAACACACGGCAAACCTTCACTGCTAGCCGGCTTTGAGGGCGTTGTTGTTGTGCTCCTAGATCCCTAGCACTGGAAAGGCTTTTTGGATACATACCTGCATACAACACCAGAGAGAATTTAAACGTACAGGCGGAAAAATTACTGTCTTGTCCATAAGGCTCCAAAACAAATTGGCGTAGCTAAGCTTTGGTGAGTGAATGCCCGTGCGTGCTCACATGTCACTGTCATGAAATCCCAATTGTCACAATCATTAACATCCAAAAGTGAAGCTGCAGCATTTTGGGGAGCACACCTATGATGTCAGATCTGCCTCCAAGCTGGATTTTCTGGCGGGAAGAGAGATGCAAGTACAAAGAAGTAATGCTCTCTTAAAATGCAGAAAAAGTCTTGTTAAGTCGAGCTAGCATTTGTTTCTGTGCAGAGGGCTGTTGGAGGGGCACTGAGGCTATATTTCAGTTCTGGTTTTTAACAGCTGTTTTTTTTATCCAGCTTTACTAGAGCGTTTTCTGTGTTTAACATCCAGTGATTTATCACAGAAACGTGGCAGGCCCACTGCCACCCGCTACCTTTCCTTACTCGTGTGAGTAGTTTCCCTGAAACCAGTAAGGATGGGCCCCGGCTTGTTTCACACAGTAACGAAAGCAGTTTTTCATTTAGGAGCATCCTTCATCCTCATGTCGCGACGGCACGGAAACACTGGTTCCAGTGGCATAAACTGGAGAAGACGAGGGAACTGGGCAGCTTCAGAGGCGAGGCGTTGTGTCTGTGAGCTCCTTGCGGAGCAAGAGGTTTCGGCTTGTGTGAAGGAAAGCATTTGTCTCCTTCCTGGCTCGCGGGAGGAGAGGCTGTAAGCTGTCGGTGGCAGGGAGAGCAAGGCTGTGGCTTTGGGGTTTGCGCCTGTCTGTCCGCCCATCCATGCTAGCGCTCCTCTCGGAAGAGGCCAGGGCCCCGGGCCCCTGGTTACAGATGGGGGATTGGAACCAAAAGAGCCTGGAATCAGTAAGGGAGTTGAAAAATAAACGGTTGAAGTAGGCTTTTATATCTTGGCATGTTATTTCGTGGAGGAATCAAAAGCTCGGGTTTTTATATTTAGTGACTAGAGTGCTATTTGAGGAAAAAAAGCGTGATGGACAGAGAAACATAAGCAAACTGTTTGCTGAGGGAGAGGAAGCTGTTTAGCGAGGCCCTCAGCGCTCTCTCCTGCTGGTCCGAGCCGGTGGCCGGGGCCGGAGCGCCGGGCAAGGTAACGCTGCAGCAGAGCAGCAGGAACCACAGACGCGGCTGCGATTGCACGCACGTAACCGGCAGCTTCCCAGCGGCTCGGCACTCCTGCGGGGAGTGGGGACGCGCTCACCTGGTTTGGGTCTTTGACCCTGTTTCACAGGGATTAACTGTGTTCGGCAAGCAGCTGCTCTGCTGCTGGTGTTTTGTCTTCAAAGATACTTTCTCTAACCTTTCTCTGGTTCCGCAGCGGGAGGGAATTTTACCTGGTGTTGATGTTGTGTGCTAATGGGGGGGGGGGGTTGTCTCTCTTATTAAGTAAAGGAAGGTCAGGAATCATACTTGTTGTCGTTGTTTTTAACTTGCTGCATTTTGCTGCTTTGTAACTACTGCTGTAACCACCACTTACTTTTCTCTGGATCCCTTTTCTGCAATCATGTGCATATCACTTCTGGGGTTTTTGCTCCAAAACGCCAGGGCCTCTGGCATGTGCTTGTTTTATTTTTCGAACAAAGAGCAATGAAAGGTTTGCTTTGTGGGAGGACTGAATATAAGGAATTACATGGACTTTGCAAACTGAGATCACGAAAAATAATCGTCGTTAGACTACACTGTTAAAATAAATGAGTCTTTCGTGCGCCAGTTCCCTGCTTCACCTGATGCCTGTACATCCTCTGCTCGGTCAGTCTTAAGGAGGTTAGTCACCTTATCATTAAACATCTCTTTGCTAAAAGAAACATCGTAGGTTTATACAGTGTTCCTTGCAATTCTGGGGTACCAACCCGAGGGCACACGTTTGCCTGGGGCTGCACTTAGCTTTCCTTCGTGTTTCTCGGAACAGAACGCTAGCCTATTCTCTAGGCCATTATTTCCTTCGTGTATTGTCTGTGGAGCCTCTATTGTTTATGTACGGTGTGTAAGGATGCTTATGTTGCAAGCGGCATCTCAGATTGCTTATTTGCAGGGTGAAGGACACAGGAGCAGATTTTAATATTTTGTGCTGCAAAGTAGAGTATTCACATTGCAAAAAACAAACAAGACAGAGCGGTATAATCTCACAAGTGATTTAAAATAGACTTTTTAAAGCCTTCAGGTATAAATCCTAGCTGAGAATAGTGCAGCAGTGGGTAAGGGGAGAATTGAATAGGTTTTTTTCATTGATAAGGTCTGTGATTCTCTTATGTTGGTATCTGAGAGAGATCTGAGAACAGGAGGAGAAATTACAATTCTTACTTATTGGTTGCGTGTTAAAAGTTTGCCATTTAGGAAGAAAGCCAATGTCACGCCAGTCTTCAAAAAGGGTAAGGAGGAGGAGCCAGGAAACTACAGGCCTGTCAGCCTCCCCTCCATCCCTGCAAAGGTGATGGAACAGCTCCTCCTGAAGGTCATCACTAAGCATCTGGAGGACAAGAAGGGGATCAGGAGTAGTCAGCATGGATTCACCAAAGGGAAATCATGCTTGACCAAGCTGAATGCCTTCTATGACGGGATGACTGGCTGGGTAGATGAGGGGAGAGCAGTGGATGTTGTCTCCCTGGACTTCAGCAAGGCTTTGGACACTGTCTCCCATCACATCCTCCTAGGCTCAGGAAGTGTGGGCAGGAAGAGTGGAGAGTGAGGTGGATTGAGAACTGGCTGGATGGCCGAGCTCAGAGGGTTGTGGTGAATGGCGCAGAGTCAAGTTGGAGGCCTGTGGCTAGTGGTGTCCCCCAGGGGTCAGTCCTGGGTCGGGTCTTGTTCAAT